GTTTGATATTTCTAAGTTTAATAATCACCTTTCGGTAATTCAAGGGCACGTGTGGGCCCTTGTAAATTATGAACCCGACCCTTGACCGACTTTATAACATAATAAATTTATATCATTTTACAGAGACAATCATGGAGCATATTTCCCTGTTTGCCCTGTTATTAACTATACTATTTGTATGTCTACTTCTTTCATTTCCATAACTATGATACTTTCTATTGGCTGATGATGGGCTTATTTATGCTCGAAACATGTTCCTTTACGATTGATTTTTGATCATTCTAATGAATGTTGTGGAGATGACTTTGGGTTTTGATCTAAAACTACACCACTCCACTTTGAGTTACTATGGACTTCTTCCAAAGATTAATTCAAAAATGTTAGTGAATGGACCTAGAGTGTTTCATAAAAAATAATAGAAATTACGAGTAATCTACTCTTTTAGGAAATCATCGAAAAATGCAGATTCACTCATGTAGAAGCTGAGAATATCAAGTGGATAAAAATGAGTAATACAACTGTTTGTAAAAAATTCATGAAATTCAAAAATGAGTACCTTTTATCGCACTCAACAACTTTCGGTAACACCTAGAAAATAGTAGGAAAATAACGTAATTTCCGTATCATTGAAAAAAGTTTGAGAGAGTCGAAGACAAAGAACAAAAATACTCTTCTCCCTATAGGCACCAGACTATCAAGTATTTATTATATTTTTCATAGAGCCAATTCTTCAAAATATTTACGAGCGTTTTCAATCCTCATGAATATTCGATTCATGAAAGGTCGATTCGACAAATATTATCAGCAACCTTCAAAATTGTCTGTACAAAACAAACATAATAGATCGGCAATGTTTCTTCATAATAATGCATATCGAACGTCTTGACTGAATTATATTCAGGTATTTAGAAATCATCCGGTATTTTTCAGTAAGTACCTACTACTAAAGTTGGTAGAATTGATGAACATCCGCATTGGTGCTTACTTCGGTTATAAAACGGTGAAGGAATTGTGGTCCTTCGTAATGTTATTTCATCAGAAATTCCACTTTCAAAGTATAGATAAATCATTTCAGTTGTGATCTAGAATATTCACAATTTGTTTCTTATCTCAGTTGTGTTACTAGGACATGTATTGTGGCATGCATCATTGAATTAATGTATCAAAAAAGATAGGCTATCATACACTCAAATAACTTATGCAATCATCCAAATAACCCATTAAAAAAGTATAAACAGTAAACATAAAAAAATATCAGTTATATAATAAAAAATCTTTATAAGTATCAATTTATACATATCGACATCATTGCAAAAGAGAAATGTTAGGGCTTTTCCTTCCTCCTAAAATGTAGTTCTCCGGTTCCCAATTTCGAAGATCAGTTCAACGAAGCAGAATGAGGATAAAATATAGAATTTCGAAACATTCAAAGTCGATGGAATTGTTACAACTCATCATATCGTGACCAACTGTCGACTCGATTTAAACAAAGAAAAGACCACGGGTATTATAATAGACATCTTATCCAACCGAATACCCTCTGTCATGCAGCCAATTATATTCAATTGCACATTGCATGTGCGAATTCGTCGGGAAGAGTCCTTTGTGACGATACTTCTGTGATACGATAAAGACAAGGGTGCCCATGGTATTTGCAAATTCCCAACTCATAAGTACCTGTCGGTGTCTGTGAACTTCTCAAACTTGTAAACAGAGGCATAATATATACCTAACACAAAATCGAATTTTGTATTGAAACTCATCAAATAGGAAATGAAATTAATTTTTTATCACCAATTCAGTCTTCCTACAGTATCCATAAAGACTTCATTGGCAGTTAAAAGCCAATTTCAAATGAGTTTCAGATCAATTTTTAGGTTATAGGTATATCATAAATCCCCAAAATTACGAATCTTGTGACAGTCTCCGGTAACACTAACGAAATAGTAATGACATTTATTATTTCCAGAGGTTTCACCTAAGGAGTTTAAATTTTAGGGTAAGCTATCCAAGAAGGGATCAATACACTAGAAAGTACCTATCCCAGCATTTATTAATGCACACCACTCCTGGAAGTTCATGTACTTTCCCGACGTCGAGGTGTCCAAACGGCCATGCAACATTGATAGGAGCGCTCAGCCACCAACGAATATGCGCTTGCAAATCCGTTAAAGGAGGATTTTTTCGAGCACTTTTCAGATATCTGACAGCGAACTACAAACTATAAATGCGGAAGTGCGTTTTCACCGTCATTTATGAAGTAATGCTAAAGCACTCGTTTCAAGTGTCTTATGTTTCGACAGTCGGCCGTCATTTCTCAAGTAGATCGGTCTTTCTTTAGTATCCACGAAATCAATATGAACCACGTTCTTTAACTGATTGAATTAATCAGTGCATGGAATATGTGAGATGTTAATTCTGGGTCCGATATGTGGAAGCTTCAATTATTATCTAAGTTTGTGGTCGAGGTGAACCTCAAGAATGTGAAGAGTGCATCAACGATCTAGATTGAAAACTTGAAAATTTCAATGCGTTCAAATCTTTCAACGTCACAAGTAGCTGTCAAAGTAACTGGTAGGCACGTAGATCAATCAGTATGGATGTATGGATGAAAAAGGTATACACAAGTTATGCATTAAACATAGTCATTCCGATAAGGCATACTATATTATTGAATTTGAACTATCAAAAATACAGTTCTCAACCCCTGATATTTTCCTCCAGTCAATGATGTGATATTGTGGCTGTGTAAGAATATACCATATTTCAGATGAAAAGGGTTAGACATTTTGTGCTATTTGTTGGCAGTAGTTACTTAAAACACGAAGGGTCCGAAACATTTTTCTTGCTCTTATTTTCAATAATCAACAATTCACTAGTTTCTGATCTATTAGAAATAGACAGTGGCGTTGTTTTTTTACTCATTTGACACCTTTATAACCCTTGCGAGCTCAAAACTATGGACGATGTAATGAGATGGATGAATCAGGAAAATATTTTATTACAAAATGTGTAGCAGCACGCACAAGAAAAGATTCTTGTTTGTGAATTGCCTGTAGCTACCATTTTCCGCTTCTTTCTAATAAATTATTCGAGCGATACCGATTCGTATATTGGGGATTTTGAAAGTCAGAGGCGCCACAGGCTGAACATTATTCAATATTGGAACCTTGAAAATCCGAAATGTCTTGATTATCTTTATCCCTATTTCACAATGAGCATTATGAAAAGGTGACCTATTCGAAAGCAAACGTCTGAAAAATTTTAAAATTTGACATAAGGATTCAATACCTATACATCACGAAAGCTAATTCCATCAAATGTCTTGAAAATCTTTGTGCCTATGACATGCTCTTAGACAGCGACAAAAAATGCCGTTCAACGATGAAATTCCAATATTCTAGTTATCTCTGATTGCCCCATATATCCTCTCTTCCACTATAATCATTATGAATGGTCAGTATACTAAAAAGCGAAAATTTTGAGAATTTCAAACTTCGATACTAGAAATCTTCACATGTCTCCAGAATCTTTCTCCCTACTAACTCGTCACATGACATTCTCTTCGATAGTGGCCGTTTAAAAATCTCGAAATTAACATTGAAAAGTCGAAATTCCAACAATATCATCTCCACCGTGCCTCATCTTATCGACCTCGAGCAGCTTGTTGAAAAGGCAAATCCTCATCAGGGTATCTCGACCATAGTATTGCTTGACCAGGTATCATTAAGGCTACAGAATCAAGTAGACGCTCACATATGGGTGGGTCAAAGATTTTTCACTGCACCTACACTTCTTTATACACATTATCAAGCGTTAACTTTTTAGTAGCAAAAGTGTGAAGAATTTCAAACTTTCATTGAAAGAGTCCAATATACATCACGATGGAAGGCTGATTCGTACTTACATAATTTTCAAATGTTTTCGAGTCATTGTGTGTCTACTAACTTATCACATGACTTCTCGTGCGAGAGCTACCTAAAATGCCTTGTAATTGACGATAGGGAAATATTGAAAACTTCAATTTAAAAGAATCTAGTTATCTCCCATTACACCTCTATTTCACTGAATACATTATGGAAAGTTGGCATATTTAGAAGCGTACGCGTAGGAATTTGAAACTACGATGAATAAGAATATATATATACCTACAGTATGAAGGCGAATTCACAAATCTTCACATGTTCTCCATCAACATATTTGAGCCTGCCAACTTGTCACATGACATTTCCTTCGACACCGACACAAAATAACGTTCTCGAAATCAATAATAAAATCTTGAATTTCCAAAATCCTTATTATCTCTCATTGCACCTCTATTTCACTATATTATACATTATGAAAAAACGGCAAATTTTGAAGCGAACGTGTCAAGAATTACAAACTTCGATAAACAAGAATTGAAAAGTAACACACTAAGAAGGCAAATTCGCACTTCACATGTATTCAATATGAATCTTTATGCCTACCCACTTGATCTTAGAGAGCGACCTAAAATGATGTGTTCAACGATCTCGACGCACTCCCGAAGTAAACACGTTAACGGCCACAGGTCATTCGAGTATTTTCTCAATTTGAGCCCTGTCAGCCAAATACGATTGACAGGAAAATGTTCCTGTCTGTCGATCTTGTCTGATTAACTGACAGTAAGGCTTCGACTTCAGGCCATGTCAGTTATAAATAAATAGCTTGGTGATATGGGGCCGCGTAAGTCGCATTTGACAAACACTTTGCTGTCCCCGATCTGCAATATACAGGCGTCAACTAAAACGAATAATCTATCCATAACTTTGAACTATGATTACTAGATCGCGCTAAAGTGTAACACAACCTGTGTTGGTTGAAATAAATCAAGTACAATAATTTCGCGTTTCGAAATTCCAACAGTCTCATCCCCACCGTGCTTCATCGTGCTGACCTTGAAAACCGAGAGAAACACCAGACAACCGCGATTTTCGTACGACGCAAGGAGAGCAGCTCGTTCAAGGGGCAAATCCGCCTCACAGCTGCGAGGAGCTGGTGCTCTCGTCCTCCGAGTTGCTCTCTGACACCATGGCCTCACCAGCCAGCAGCTTGGGGCTGGGGAGCACCCTTAGGCCACCCCTGCTGCCCTCCAGCTCGCTGGGCAGCGCCGGTAGCATCAAGTCCTGGAAATAATAACAATAATAATAATAATAATAGCGTCTTTATTCATTTGAAAATACATTTGAATTACAATGTTTTCAAGTGTTGGCAACATTCGACTGCAGCCGTTCGTCCATGTAACCAACAAAGAAAAAAACATAGTTATGAACAGAAAAATGAAAAATGATACATCTAATGTTAACAGTAATAAGTTTCAGTTAGGAGTATGGTAAAGTTCTAGTATTATTTTGATTATATTGAGATGAAATGATGAATAAATTCTCAATATCTCCACTACTTGCACATGAAGCGGAATGCATTGATAGTGCAATTATTCTGAACATCTCCAGAAATATTTTATCACATATTCATTATAATTGAACTACTAATTGTCTATTTGAAAGAATCCAGGACTTGACATGTTTCCTGAAGTTATGCCTGTTTTGAAGCGACTTAATGTGTGCCGGTAGAGTATTGAAAGTTTTCACTGCATTGTATGAAAAGCTTCGTTTAAATTGTGCCTAGGTATACAATAGAGATCTCTAGCTCTTGTCAAGCAGCTGAGTTTGTCTAGCAGGTATGCCGGTGTTTTATAATGATTGATTTGATATATGAGTCCAGAAATTGGGGCTATAGAAGGTGCCTTTGAAAATCGTAGGTACCTACATACCGGGAGACACAGCAGATATGTAACATGTAGATTTTTTATTTGGAGAGATAAAAATTTGAAATTCACAAGGGTTATATAATCGATGATTGCGCTCTCCTTGAACCCAATGACAATTTTTTTCAACCACCTGTTTGATTGGGAGTAGACCCAACTTTTTTTACCAAATGGCACCCTGTATATTTCTGTGATCTATCTTATGCGCCTTGAAATTCTTTATTCAACGATGTATCACAATTTGATATTCGTTTATTAATTGGCTGTTAAATTATGAAGAGATATAAGAGTGAAATTCACACACTGATTCACGGTTAAGGTTTCACACCGCTGAACTTGTTTTCCTGGTGCTTGTTCTCGGATTATTTTTTACCATTCGTAAAACAGTCTCTTCGTTTACACAGTGCAACGAGTGCTGGAAACTCCACTATTCAATTTTGGTTTTCTGAAACAGCCATCTTCTCCCAAACGCCTATGCATATCGATAACTGTTCGAATATAGGAACTTGTCTTAAAGCAGGATATCTTTCTCGATAGATACGTTGATCGAGCTTCGTAAGAATTTGATCTAGCTTCGCCGTAACACATAATCATGTCCCTGTATTCTTCAAAAGTGTAGTGAACCATTATTGAAAGCAATTTTGAATAATCAGTGAGAAAACCAATGAAAAACTCATCAAGAACATAAAATACCTTTAACAATTATTACATTAGACAAGTGTCATTTTGACACATTATTCAATTGTTATTTATCATTGTTTTTGCAAAGTTTATTTTGGCGCTTTTTGAATAATTTGCGTGCATTGTCGGCTTTTAGATGCATTTGTACTGGAACCATTGCTTCTAGCGACTTAGACAAGGTATACATTTCTTGAGTATAAAAGAATAAGGGATAACAATTTTTTTCCGTCGAAAATGACATACAGTGTATAGCAAAAAAGTTACAACCGATTCAATAGGGATGGAACCCTGTATGTAGTGCCCTCTATCAGTAATCACAAGACTAAGATCATATTTGAATTAAGCATGATAAAAAACCTGTATATCACATTTTATCCATTTCTTGCGTCTCTGGCTGAAGATATTCAAAGAAAACCCAAAAAAATAAAAATTGAATTCAACACCCTGTATCTTTTAACCGAAGGCCTTGCGGACCCATGTTCATAGGAATTTTTTTCCTTATTTTAGTGTCCTCTATTGTATGGCACTATGCAATGTACTTTTTTCTATGTCACCCTGTATATTGCTAGTGGCGAAAAAAAATGTAATAAACATCACGGGATCATATTCCCCGGAAGCCTCGGGACGTAATCTTGGTCCCTTGGTAGTAATGATAAGTATTCTCTACCTTGGTGTATTGGTGGTGCAAATTTTGTGATAAAATTGTAAATTTTCGATATTTCATGCATCATCAGATGCAAATTGAATGTTACTAATATTCTCATAGTTCGTTCTACCCAACTCAAAACTTGATAAAAACCAGAACAATGATTTAATGGTAAAGTAAATACATCTTTGGTAGAAGTCCATATTGCTCAAAGTGGAGTGAAATTTTTCAAAGGAAGGAATGCTCGAAGTTATCTCCACCAATTTCAATGGTGAAACAACATGTCCCTTATAATGCTTATATCACAAAAAAATGTATTTCATAATTCGATAGAACTCACCCAAAACCAGCTCACCACCGCAAACCGTTTCTTGCTGTGAGCTCCCTACGTTTTATAAAAAATTATTGATATCGCCGATTTTTCGGACCTCTGAAAACGAGGCGATGATGTGACGTCAAAACCCTGATACTGAAACAAGACTATTCCAGACAGAGATGAATGATACATGATTTCTGACAGAGTGAATTAGCGCGAGATCACAGTTGAAAGAATTAATATATCAGTTGCCTCAGTCTCCGTCGGGCGTTTGGTATTTTCTTTTAACTATGGCGAGATGAAGTTTCTACGTCATAAGAGGGTCCATTTTCAGAAGGTACTTTTATTTATGTCCAAAAATAAAACATTCCAGTCAATTTTTCGATCGAATTTATGTCGTCAATCATTATTTATGTATAAGCAGAGGATCATTATAAACATGGTTTGAGTTAAAAGTTCTACTGAGGTGTACACGCCCATTGTGTAACAACACCATTAAAATTTGTGGAGATGACTTCGAGCATTCCTTCCTTCCTTTGACAAAAATACATTGTGAGCCGGTCATTTCAATTCAGTATAAAATAGCCTGTATATTTTTATTGCCGGAAATATGAATTGCAGCAATCAATTGCATGCAATGAAAAATTATGGTAACTGTAAAGCGGTTCTTAACTCAATAAACATGAAACAAAGAGCTAAATAAGCGTAACGTTATTCCTAAATTGAAAAACGTCACAAAATCACTATTTTTCTAAATGGGCACAGGTAGGGTTTTGAGATAATAACCATTCTATTGGTATGGGATGGTAAACTTTGTATGTCGTTATCAAAAATTTTGAGCAAATTTGAGTTGATCTCCGAGTAGATTGAATAGAGTGGCGACAATAGACCTCAATATGGATGCGATTTCAGTTTTTTATCGAAACGATGAATTAGGTGATCACAGGGCTGAGCTCACTGTATGCTTACCAAAGAAATCTATGATGTAAGAAAATAAAAAAAAATGAATATTTATAGTTCTGAAGATGGATCATGATCAACAATAGTATACTTATTTGAACAAATTACATGCTCAAAATTCAACAAGTGGCCGCGAGCAAGAAAAAACAAGTATCTTCAACAAGTCCAAGTTTTCTAGAACGAGATAAATTTTCTTCCAACTTATAATTATAAGCTTTTTTGTGTATTTTGTTTCTGATATTGTGTGAAAGAGGATGTTGCGGAATTTCAGGATTGAAAAATGAGATAAACGAGAATTACAATATTTCACGATATTTTTTGGAAAATCATCAATGATCATTATAGTCTTTTGTGTTCGTTATATTTGCTTTTCTGCATAGAGAGTCGGAGAGTTGAGTTTTTCTTGAGATGATGAAGACCTTTGGTATTACGTCAATCGTTTTGAATATGAAAAGCTCCAACAATTTGTGGCCGGAGTGCAGAGTGCTATCCAGAAAGCCATGTCAAAGTTAGGGTAAAGACTGTTTTTACCGTCTTATTAGAAGAAATGTAGCTGTTGAACACGAGAAACTCAGCTTCGTTTTAATCTTTTATGATGCTTACAAGAGAAAGGGCGATCGTTAAGCGGAAAGAATAAAATATGGCGATTTGTTACTAGATTTCGAGAAAGGGAAATAACGTGGACACAACAAACTAACCTGTATCATAAGGTTAGTCCGCTGTATCCACGATTATCAAAGCTTGCGAGCGCCGCCCTCGGAAATCTACCGCTCCTAGGCTGCAGCCTATTGGCAAATCCAGGACTTCGTTGGGGTGATCAGTACCCGCGGTCCCACGCTGTAATGTTTCCCTATCGCGGGGATTATTATTTTCCTCCTGTCTGTAGACGCTAGTATCCGAACCTACCTCCTCATCCTCCTCCTGATCCTCCTCCTCGTCGAGGTCCGGCTTGCGACCGCAGGAGCTGCCCGAGGAGACGCTGTCGACGTCGAGACGGCCGCCGTAGCGAGCGAGGTCGACCGGCCACGAGAAAACGTCTCGCTCCTCCCAGTCGCCGTTGCGCGAGAAAGCTGATCGCGGGCTGTCCGGTTCGCTCCTGGAAAAAGACACAAATTAGGATGTTCAACAACAAGGGCGTCGATATGGGGGGGGGGGGGAAGTAATGGGCATAATTACCCACCTTCCTACCAGGAATTTTAATAATTGGCAAGATACCCATAGGTGATAGATATAATAGAAGTTTATATTTATGGCAGTTGGCAGTTTGCTTATGGCTTATGCTGCAAACTTCATTCTCGTAGGAAATCACTAGCACTCCGTGCTCCTTAAACTATATACTATTTCCTACGACCACCTATGGAAGCAGCATATAGCACACGATACTGTGTTAAAACGAACAGTGTGGCAATATTTCCGCACGCTCCCGTGATCTCTATTTGGTCTATATAATGTAAGAATGATTAAAATACTGAAATATCATATTTTAATAATTATCATCATTGTATATACATACTCATTCATTTTCGTTAGAGTTCAAATTTTGACTTATGAGAACTAATAATTGTTTCGGTATTTTTTATTTTGTCATAATCTGCTAGACATAACCTCATTGCTGTCATTCCGTCATTGCTGTCTACGCCGGTGTCCCTCGGGTCTACACATGTGTTTCATGGGTCTATACACCGTCGGCACTCTGGGGTGCGTTCGAATACGTACTCTGTGACGAAGAGTTTACTCATTTGCGTTCGAAATTTGTTAGATTGCGTATATTTTCCTCTGTGACTATCGTTCGTAACTACTGGAGTTTTTGACGTCGAGTAAATTCTTATTGTACAGTCGCATTAAAAAAAATCGTACAAGTATATTACAGAGAGAAATTAACGTCATCCTATTCTGCATAAAACGGGCTATCGGGAATGATTGTTCACCAAATGTTGACAGTAAAGTTGTCATAGGTTCTCGAAAACACAAAGCATTGGCTGAGCCAGTTTTACACAACTAGAACTAGGATCCCGAAATCCTCTCTGTTTAACACTTGTACGCTTTTTTATTGAATACGACTGTAACTCCACAAAATAGGTGAGTAAATGTTACTCCACAGATTTGACAAAGCTATTACAGGGCGAACAAGGATGAAGAAGTTTGTTTTGTTTGTTTCAAATTAGGTTAGCTCCATTTGAAACGCAGTTTATGATTGTTTTCATATCTACAAAGCATTCAAACTTTGTAAGTACTTCTTAACATTATATTTCGATGTTGAAAAACTATGACTTCAGAAAGTGAGACACAAAGGTTTTGTTGTGGTTACTGTTCTGTTAACAACATTTCCAATTCAGAATTCAAACATGTATGTATATCAAGGTTTATTGTATATGCTTTATTAGTATAGCAGTGCATACCCAAGACGTAGTTCCAACATTATAATAAGCGGCAATCAACATTATTTAATTTCTACTGGAATACAAATCTACCTACTCCTTTATGAATTATTAACCCTGAACTGACTGAACTAAACTTGCCAACTTGACAAACATGTCAATCTCAAATGTAAATAGACTAACTCAAAATTCCATTCGAATATCACAAGGAATAGTAATTAACCTCAGAGTAAACTGATAAAACCTTCAAGTGAGTTTACTATACTCTTGAGAGTTAATAATCGAACGCACCCCTGATATATTTTTGGTGGCGTGATTACAAGGTGCGTGGTAGCTCTCGAATGTCTCGACCAAACCACAGTACCAATAATAAAAAAAATATGATGTCCAAATCGTATCACTTTCAATTTTTTTTCTTCGGAAAGAAATAATAATTTATTTACCGAATAAATTTAGATTAATTTCAACATAGATAAAAAACAAATAACCAGTTATATTGAAAAAATCAAATGTTTGAAATTTGTATTTGTGTTTCAAGTTATATATTTATGGTCGTAGGAAAAATAGTGTACATAACTCTTTGGAAAGTGTATTTTATTCACTCGTTACATCTCCGCACTCGACGCTACGCGTCGTCGTGCTACATATTACTCGTCTGAAATATGTCTCTACTGTACTATATGTTTCCAGTGTCAGCTGAACTTTGCATTACAATGTTATCAAACTTGTACTTATATCTGGTTAGCATTATTTGATAAAACTTTTTTTCCTTCGGAAATGGTGAGAACAAAGTTTTCACAGGATTAACAGAATGAAGATAATAAATTTGTCTTATCGTTCAAAAATATTTCATAATTTCGAAATTCTACAGGCAGAAAATAAAAGAATAAATCTCAATCATTTTGAATCATTAGAAATCAACAAACTCAAAAATTCTAACATTTTACTTAACGATCAATTAGACCTCAATAGTTCACCACTGTTGAATTTGTTTTCTTAGTAGGTCATAATATGTATTTGCTATCAACCCTTACAAGTTATTCCGTTACATCAAATTTTAATGTAGATATTGTGCCTATTTTCCGAAACTGAAGGTTTATCCAACTTTTCCACAGGTAATTCTAATCCTTCAGGTTGGGAAAGTAGGATATATATATGGTTAGGCAACGAAATGTTAGTTTATTTCATTGTACCAGTATTTCACCTGATGAAGTTTTTACATTCACTTACTTATATACTTGCAAGATGCTTTAGTGCCAATAAAAATATCCTAGTATTCCTAATAATGATCGAGATTTTACTAAATCCCAAATTATTTTGTGGCACAAGCAACATTGTAATTCCCCCAGAGATACAAAAACGGAAGGAGAAGACAATCTACATTGTCAACCTAACTGCCTGACGTTAATATTCTCGTTTCATCTAGTCAAGACGCGAATATTCAAAGATAATCCTCATGTTATGTGATTCTTCAGTTGTGTGTTGTATTCTTTGTTATTTGCAGTAAGTATTCAATCCAGAAAATTCATTCCATATTCTGATTGAAATGACAATCAGAAATATTTCTTGCACTCGTCTATCAGAAATAGATTATTGATACATAAGTCAAATCTTATATGGTGTTCTCGGATGATTACGTCACGCGTTTTCTCGCGTTTTTCATGTTTTTCATGTTATGCAATATGGTGAATTTCAATAATTATTTAAAAAAGTAACAGAGCTCTGAGGAAAAAACGGTTTGCGACAGTGACCTATATCGAAAACTGGAACCTTTGGCGCGATAATACACTATACATTGTTTTACCACTGAGCAAACCGATTTTTTACACCTTGACACGTGTTTCGCTATTTATGTTAGCATCTTCAGGAGAAGATAAAAACTAAACGCTCTATACCAATAACCTTCAAGTTGATGTTATTCATGGTGAAGTTCACATGTTATATTACTAAACTATACAGAGGGCTAAATGTGATAGGTCAATTATCCTCATTCATTACATTACCATTCTTGAATATCTCTAAGCTTTTAAGTAGCCCACTAGGATAGAGCATTTAGTTTTAATCTTCTCCTGAAGATGCTAACATGGAGGATTTTATTCGTTATTTTTCATGTTCTCCTTTTGAATGCTCATCAGATATAATTCAATGTTCGACGTGGCAAATAGCTAGGAAAGTAGTTGTTTTCTGTTGAATATTCAGAATGAAAGAAAGAAAGAAAGAATTTTATTCATCTATGAGGACTATACATTACACATATGACAAAGATATAGTACAATGCACCATCCTATCAGACTAGTCAGTTCACAAAAAACAAAATGGACAAACAACGGACAATGACATGCTATAGAATAATAATTATATCCAAAAGGAACATTATTATATAGGACAATAATTAATATTAATTGGTACACACAGATTTTTTTTAAAATTTGAGGAATTCCTCAACACTATAAAATGCATTAAAAGTTAGAAATGAGTGGACCTTCTGCTTGAAGTTTCTTGCATTATTTGAGTTTACATTCATCATTATGTTATTGATCTTATTGAAACACTTAATTCCAATGTGCTTTGGTGACTGCTGACCTATGTGTAGCCGTGAGAATGGTTGATGGATATTTGATATTTGTCTTGTGTTATATGAATGAACCTAACCTAACCTAACCTAACCTGACCTAAGTGTAGCCGTGAGAATGGTTGATGGATATTTGATATTTGTCTTGTGTTATATGAATGTATATCTTCATTTTTGTCAAAAGCTTCCTCATTTCCTTTGACATACAGTATCAAGTGAAAAATGAAAAGACTAGGTAACGTCAGAATCTCTGATTTTTTGAAAAGTGGTTTAGATGATGTTATTGGTGACGCATTATACATAGCTCTCAAGACTTATTTCTTCTGAGCTACAAAAGCTCTATCGAAGTGAGGTGAAGCACCCCAGAATATTAAACCATATGATAGGTGCATATACATATTTTTGTCTGAAGGAGAATGCAAATTCTCAATTTCAGAAGTTTTTATATTTTGTTTTCAAACCCTTATCGTTCGTCGTGGCAAATAGCCAGGAAAGTAGTTGTTTTCTATTGAATAAACTGAAAAAGAGTGAATATTCTCATCACATAAGAGAATGCGAATTCTCAATGTATTGCTTTATATTTATTTATTTATTTATTTATTTATTTATTCTCATATGAATACATTTACAAAGACATACATATTCTAATATTATAAAAATTCTAAATTTTATCTACTTCACATAGGTTATTGACCTGTGTGTGAATTAGATAATTATTATAAACTTTTTGTAAAAAATTTTCAAGTTCTTAAAAATATTTAGATTAAATATTGATTATAAATTCAATATTTGAAGAGATTATCAATTTCTTTTGCATTATCCAAAAACCAAATTTTAATTTTTTTTTTGAATGTTACAATATTCAAACGTCTCAATTTTGATGGAACTCTGTTAAAAATTTTTGACCCAATAAAACTACTATGGTTTTGCATGATTTTGAGATTATGTTTTTCAAGTTGAACATTATCATTTCTTGTACAATAATTGTGACTAATTTTATTACTAAATGCAGTGTTTTTTTTCAAGAAATTCAATGATGCTTTATAAAATAATTGTTTGACATTCAGTATATGATTATCTACAAATAATGAGGATGATGGATAATTCAAAGGTTTGCGAA